GCAGGGCCCAGAGTGGCTGGACAAACTGTCCCTAGGATGGAATGGCTCTGTCCACTGGCTGCTGGTCCCTTGCCCCTCCCCTCACGGTGCTGGTGGCACATGTCCCCTCTCCCCTCCCTCCATAGCCCCTGTTGAAGAGCATAGATAGAGAGTTGGCTCTAAAACTGTAAAATCACCAGTGAGGGGAGAAGTAATCCCTAGTGTGAAATACTAGTTTGCCACACGCGGTCTCATCTGCAGCCCAAGAAAAGAAGGCCCATAGACACCAGGTGGGGCACTGCGGAACATCTGAGGATGAACTGCTTTGTACAGGGGGCTACGTCTAGACTGGCATGATTTTCCGCAAATGCTTTTAATGGAAAAATTTTCCATTAAAAGCATTTGCGGAAAAGAGCGTCTAGATTGGCACGGACACTTTTCTGCAAAAGCACTTTTTGTGGAAAAGCGTCCATGCCAATCTAGACGCGCTTTTCCGCAAAAAAGCCCCGATCGCCATTTTCGCGATCGGGGCTTTTTTGTGCAAAACAAATCTGAGCTGTCTGCACTGGCCCTTTTGTGCAAAGCTTTGTGCAAAAGGACTTTTGCCCAAACGGGAGCAGCATAGTATTTCCGCAAGAAGCACTGATTTCAGACAGTAGGAAGTCAGTGTTCTTGCAGAAATTCAAGCAGCCAGTGTAGACAGCTGGCAAGTTTTTCCACAAAAGCAGATGCTTTTGCGGAAAAACTTGCCAGTCTAGACACAGCCGGGTTGTGCATGTGGAGTCGTTCCATCAGCTTGAATTCTGGGGGAAACAAATAAAAATTCCTGCCAAGGAAGAACTGTATCGTTAGGCTGCTTGAGTGAGGGCCAGGGGGTGCTAAACAGAAGTAAAAGATCTGCAGTGTTTGGCCGGGGTTAGCCCTTAAAGACATACAGAGCTTGCTTATTACAGAAGCAACTACCACCCTTTGGTACCGTCAATGGGAACGCTGTGTGCCAAGAACTCCCTTGCTTCTTTGTCCCTGTTATAAGGCTTGGCTACAAGGGTTGCCTTTGGTGTAAGATCTAAAGTGCGGTTGATCGGAGTCAGTCCTCGGGGACTGGGAGGAACCTGAACACTGTGATTTTGGTAGAAGGGGCAACACGCAGCTTGCCCAGATGGCAGGCTAGCCCGGAGAGCTCACGGGCACTGTCTGTGACTCAGCAGTCAGGCTGTGATGGCGCTTGAGCAGCTGACGCTTGATGCTTGATGGTGAAACCTCAGGACAGAATCACCCATCACATGTGCTCTTGGGGTACAGCCGGGCAGCCTGACAGGTCTGTGATGTAGTGTCCACCCCACACCAGACTTGGAGGAGTTAAGATGTCAGGTGGAGCAATTAACTCCCCTGGCTGCATTTGTGGGAGGAGCCAGCGCACACGGGTTAAATAAGAGGCCAAGGAGAAGTTGGTATAAAGGCTAGGAGCAAGAACGGGCTGCAGGGAAGTAGGCTGCAGCAGGTCTTCCCTGGGAGAAGGTGGGTGTGGTTGGCGTGACAGAGTAGTCCAGTGTTATTCCCTGGGATGTGGGAGTTTGGGATGGCAAACCCAGGGAGGTGAGCAAGGCTCAGGGGAAAAGTGTCTGGGTGTGGGATAGCTCAGACCTTGGCTGCTGAGGAGAGGACAGCCTGGGTTCCCCTCCCAGGCCCTTGGGAAGTGGCTCAGGCAGGTAGTGAAAAGCAGGCTGCCTGGGCCATTGTGCCCTGGAAGATCTGGATACCTCAGAAGGGGAGGACCATAGCAAGAACAGGTGGTTGCAGCTCCTGGAGCAAGACTGGGGGTGGGACAGGCTATTGGTCAAGACACTGTCAGAGGAAGCTGGGGAGCTGATAAATCTTGGGGTCAAAGTCTCCTGGCTTGCTGCTTGCCTTAATAATGGGGTAGAGCTTTTAATGTGTAACTCTGGGAGAAGCTAAGCCTATAAGAGCTCCTGCGGGGATGCGTACCTGAGCCGGATCCTCAGCAGCTCTCAGCGGTGTCTGCCCACGCCAGCAAGGAGGATGTCTGTAAGGATCGCGGTTGTCTCTCCGGGAGCTCTTTCCTTTGCTTGCTCTCCGCTACCCACCTGTAGTGCTCTGCTCTCACATCTGCCTTTGTCCCTGCTGTCATCGCTACGGCTCCCTGGCTTATTTCCCCTCCCCTTGCCAGCCCTCCAGTTCCCATGCCCACTCCCACCACCTGCCCCATGCCAAGCAAGGACTGTGGAGTGCCAGGGTGGTCCTGGCTCAGGGCCAGGAGGTGGCACCTAGCAGGTGGGGGTCCTGTCCTGTCTCTATCCTGGCTCAGGTGGCATTGCTGAACCTCATTCCCTTTCACTGTGGGGGGCATGTGTCCCTGGGAGTCTCATGACACTGGGGTTCTCTGCCGCAGGAGAAATTTGAAATATTGAACCTGGATGTGAAGTCAGGGGCCAGCCTGAAGATAAAGGGCAAGATCTCTGATGATGCTGAGAAGTGAGTATAAGGAAGGAGCTGCCTCAAACAAGGGGGGTATGGGCTGCACAGAGGGGGGAGATGGTGCCCCAGCTACCCTGACTGTACTGGATGGTTGCGTCTGATGCAGAGCTCAGGCCTTCAGTTTGTCTGTCTATCTTGGTACCTATAGAGTCTCAATCAGCCTGGTAATTGAGTGCTCCACAAATACCCTTGTCATGTCTGTATTATTTTATGGATGAGGAAACTGAGGCACGGGGATTAAAGCTACTTGCCCATGGCCAGCCAGGGGGTCTGCAGCAGGGCTGAGAGTTGAGCTCAGATCACCTGAGTCCCAGGCCGATGCCTGAGCCACAGGCCTGACCTTCCTCCAGGGAAAGTCACACTTGGTCTAGAAGTCCCAACCCTTCCTAAAACTGACTGGCTGGGATTCTCTGCCCCCATGGAATTGGTGAATGGAGAGGTGGGAGAAGAAACTCAACCGCCCTCCTTTGGGCAGGGGTGGGGCTACTGCTGGCTCCTTGGGGGGATTCTCTGATGCCCGCTCTGCTCCCCCCTCAGCTTTGTGATTAACCTTGGCAAGAGCGCTAGCGAGCTGGGGCTACACTTCAACCCCCGCTTCAACCAATCCACCATCGTCTGCAACTCCAAATGTGCCAACTGCTGGCAGTCGGAGCAGCGCAGCAACCACCTGCCATTCTCCAAAGGCTCGGAGGTCAAGGTGAGGGGCTCCTGGGAAAGCAGGCTGGGGACGCGGCTGGAGGAGCTGCCAGACTCTATGGGGGACCCCTTATTCCTCTCCCGGCTGGTGTGTCTGCAGGTGCCATTTCTCCCCACCAGCATCTCTGGCTCCGGCTGCTCTCCCGGTCAGCCGGCTCCGCTCCCAACCCTCACAGACCCTTTTCTCTCACCAGCTAACCCTGGGCAGGCTGGAGGTTGCTTGTGACCAGTCTTCAAGTGCCCCTGTGTCTCTGCCCAGCAGGTGCTTACACCTTCACTGGGTGGAGAGGGCTGTAGGCAGAAGAGCCCTCTGTCCCCTGCACCTCAGATCTGTCTCCATCACAGTTCATTCCCTGCTCATACCCCCTGTTCTCTCTACCCTCCCCTTTCCCCCACACAGTGCTTTATAGAACAAGACTCTAGGGCCCTGGGTGTAACCTCCTGGCTCCTTCCTCCTTGGGCAGTTCTATGCTTGTCTCCTAGCATTGCACAGGGCACTCTTAGATCATTCCATTTCTCTGTGGCTTGGGAATGGTTTCCTTCCCATTGCCCGGTGCTCCCTGGGCTGGGTGGGAAAGGGGAGGGCCTGCGGGCAGAAGATTCATTTTCAGTGATCAGTTATTAGTCTAGTGGGTGTTTTTATTTTATTTTATTTTATTTTTTTTAAAGACTCCTGGGTCCACCCATTCCCTAGACTGTTTGCGCAGAGGGGCTAGCAGGAGCATTTCCCCACTGTGGCTAACCCTAGTCACTTGCCCTGTTTTGAGCAAGGTGGATGCAGGAGCCTTATCTACGCCAGGGCTCCCTGCATTGCCAGTGCAGCTGAACCACAGTTAGCACACAGCTGTGTGGAGATGTTGTTGTCCCCCTCTCCCCCATCCCCATGTACAAGTTTAGGTAGGAGCTCAGCCTGCTGAGACAAGTGGATGGCTCTGATTATTTCACTGGGAGTTAGGTGCCTACATACGTGTGAGGCTCAGGGCCTCTGACACCCAACCTTGCAAGGCATCTAGTGAACTCAGCACTATGTTTAAGGGCAGCAGGATTGGGGCTTCTCTGCCCGGGCAGAAGGGACAGGTGCGTGCTGTTGTTGGCACGAAAAGCAAACTGGCTAACTCCCTTCCCTTGCTCCCCCCTCTTGCAGTTTGTTGTCAGCTTCCTGGGAGACAAGTTCAAGGTGAAGCTGCCAGATGGGCATGAGCTGGAGTTCCCCAACCGACACGGCTACGACAAGATCACCTATCTCAGCGTGAAGGGTGGGTTCAGGGTCATCTCCTTCAAACAGGATTGATGGGTCCCACTTCCTCACTTAAATGACCCTTCCCATGGGGTCTTTATTAAGGATTGATGGGTCCCACTTCCTCACTTTAATAAAGACCCCATGAGAAGGGTCATTTAATCCCAACTGCACTGACTCCTATGATGTCCTTGGCCTTTCAGCACCTGATAGAGGAAAGGTTCTAGTGGGAACACCCAAACTGGGGCTCCCCATCTGTAGAAAGAGGCAGATGTCCTCCAATGGTCCCTCTAACTTTTCCATCTGTGTGTGGAATACATTTTGTTGTGGGCACCAAGGTGGTGCATATTCACACATGGCAGTAGAAACACATGCTGCCCGCTGGGCGTGCTTTGCTAATCGGCTGAGTGGCACCCGAATCTCTCCTGGGTGGCCACATAGAGCAAGTGCTGAATTGTGGCTATTCCAGGAGGACCTCTTTCTCTTGGCACTGGTGGGTGTGATTAGTGGAGGGGGGAGATGAAAACTTCTCCAGGGCACTACAAGATGATGCTGCACTGAGTGAGCTGGCAGTAGACAGGTTCCCAGGCCTGAGTGCGCAGAAGAGGGTCAGGCAATGCTAGAGTGCACTTTCAGCAGGCTGATGGCATGGTGGGAAAGCCCAGGGTAGGTAGCTGGGTAAGAGGCTGGTTGGGTGCTGCACCTGCAGAAAGCTCTGTTTCCAGGCTGGGCACACTTCCAGGCCAGGGGGGAGATGGTACCCTCTCTGTGGTACTGTCAAACATGGAATTTCCCCACCTGCTGGTGTGAGGTGGCTTGTCCCTTCTCCTGGTGCCAGGCACAGCCCATTGAGGAAGCAACTGCACAGGTGTTAACTACAGCTTGCATCCTGCAAGAGATAAGGGGGATCGTCCTCTGCCTCCCTTCACGCTTATCACTGCCTCTCTTATGGGCTGGGAAATTCTAGCCAGGTTACCCATTACCCAGCCTTTCCCATCCCTT